TCTTCCTTCCTGTCTGTCTTTCTTTCTCTCTCTCTCTCTCTCTCTCTCTCTCTCTCTCTCTCTCTCTTTCTTTCTTTCAGGAATGGGGATTGAACCCCCCAGTGCTCTACCACTCAGCTATATCCCCAGTCCTTTCTTTTTTAAAAAAAATTTTAAATTTTTTTATTTTGAGAAAGGGTCTCACTAAACTGCTCAAGCTGAACTCAAACTTGTGGTCCTCATGCCTCAGTCTTCCAAATCACTGGGATTACAAGTCTGTGCCTATATCCAGCCAGGTTCTTTGTTATGCAGCTATAAAAGGATATTTTTGTTTTTGTTGTTATTGTTTCTTTATTGGTTTTCGTGGTGGATAAGGCTGGGCCTCATATGCGCTAGGCAAGCACCCCACCATGTAGCAACATGTCCAGCCCTTTCCATGTGAATTTTGCAACAGTGTCTTGCTGTTCTCCGGCTGGCCTCGAGCATAATCTTCCTCCCTCGGCTTCCCAGGTTAGCCAGAATTACAGGTGTGCGTCACCATGTCTGACGTGAAAGGGTGCTTATAAATAAATAGTCCACTACAAAGGAACTTATGGAACTGCATTTGAGTAAAWTAAAGTACACTTGACTATTTAAAGCATTCTTTATCTGGGCATGGTAGTGGACACCTATGATCCCAGCTACTTGGGAGGCTGAGGAAGAAGAATTCCAAGTTTGAAGCTAGTCTAGGCAATTTAGCTGGACCCTGTCTTGAAATTAAAAAAAAAAAAAATAGGAAGGGATAGGGATGGGGCTGTAGCTAAGAGGTAGAATACTTGCCTGGCATGCACCTTTGGGCTTAATCCCTTGTATGGGGGCGGGGGGGGAGGGAGGACTCCTTAATTCGAACAACTTTTTTTTCTTTAAAAGAGAAGGATAATATTTACCGCTATAGAGTGGATCCAAAATGTCCCCCAGAGTCCCATGTGTCAAGGGCTGGGTGGCCAACCTGTGTGCTGTCGGGAGTTAGTGCAACCTTTAAGAGGAGGGGCTAGTGGGAGGAAGTAAGGTCACTGGGGGCATCCCCTTGAAGGGAATATTAGGACCCCAGCCCCATCCTCTCTCTKTCCTTTCTGGCCACTGTAAGATGAGCAGGCCTCCTCTGCCACATGCCCCCATCATACTTCTGTGTCACCACAGGCCCAAAGACAGACAAAATAAACCTCTTTTTTATTTTTACACTGGATATCRCAGGTATTTTGTTTCAGTAAGAGAAAGCTAACACATTTATGTTCCAGTCAATGGAGGAGACTCATRTTTTAGAATGCTTATGGACTTTTCTTAATCTCTAAATATCCATGCTCCCATAGATTCTTCTTCCTAGAGTTTCTAAAGTGGATTTACATGGATTTAGATTCAGCAGATTAATGGAACTAAAACCACAGGGAGAATCCAAAGGAGAAAGTATTTGCCATAATTAAAAAATAGTGCTAATGTGTATGATCCTCAAGTGTGTATCCTTTTTTTTTTTTTTTGTGGTGCTTGGGATTGAACCTAGGGCCTTGTGCATATGAGGCAAGCACCCTACCAACTGAGTTATATCTCCAGCACAAGTGTGTATGCTTTCATTATGAATTGCTTTAATTCATGACACACAGTAATGGGTCCCAATGTGCTTGTTTTCTTTATTCCAACCTTTTTTTTTTTTTCTAAAAGGTGCCTTTGCTATGTGGAACCACAAAATTTAACAGGTGTCTTGGAATTTATGCTCCTGGGCCTTTCAGATGATCCAAAGGTGCAACCTGTCCTCTTTGGACTGTTCCTGTCCATGTACCTGGTCACGGTTCTTGGGAACCTGCTCATCATCCTGGCCATCAGCTCTGACCCCCACCTCCACACCCCCATGTACTTCTTCCTCTCCAACCTGTCCTTGGCTGACATTGGCTTTAGCAGCTCTACAATTCCCAAGATGCTGGTGAACTTCCAGACACACAGCAAATCCATCAGCTATGCAGGTTGCCTAACTCAGGTGTCCTGTTTTTTCCTTTTTGGATGTTTGGATAGTCTACTGCTGGCCGTGATGGCCTATGACCGCTTGGTGGCCATTTGCCACCCTCTACATTACCCAATCATCATGAACCCCCGCCTCTGTGGCCTGTTGGCCCTGGTGTCCTTCTCCATCAGTCTTGTGGACTCCCAGGTACACTGCTGGATGGTGTCACAACTGACCTTCTGCCAAGATGTAGAAATCCCTCATTTCTTCTGCGATGTGCCTCAGTTGTTCAAACTTGCCTGTTCTGATACCTCTGCTAACAACATAGTCATATTTCTCGTTGGCACCATCTCTGGTTTTCTGCCTATCGCAGGGATCCTCTTCTCCTACTGTAAAATTGTTTCCTCTGTTCTAAGAGTCCCATCCTCAGGTGGGAAGTGCAAAGCCTTCTCCACTTGTGGGTCTCACCTATCTGTTGTTTGCTTATTTTACGGAACAGGCCTTGGGGTGTACCTCAGTTCATCTGTCTCAACTTCCTCCAGAAAGAGTATGGTGGTCTCAGTGATGTACACCATGGTCACCCCCATGCTGAACCCCTTCATCTACAGCCTGAGGAACAAGGACATCAAGAAGTCCCTGCAGAGAATTGTCAGAAGAATAACCTAATCTCACTKCCTGTGCTATCCTTTGGTAGTAAGGCTGTAAATAGGAGCAGATTCAAAGGTGGGAAGCAAGAAATCCTGAGTCTGCAGTCCCAGTGTACATGACTGTATTTATCCATATGGCCTTCTGATTTCTGTTAACACAATTATTCCTCTTAGTGTATCTTTAATGGAGTTGAGAAGTTATTATGGATAAACACTTAAGTGATAGTCCCTCAAGGAATGTCTTCAGAACTCAGTATAAACCTCGTGCTTTCCTTATCTACTACCCAGGTCTCTGAATCATGAGAAGTCTCACTTCCTTTCACTGAACACAATCCTGCTTCTCTCTCTCTCTCTCTCTCTCTCCTCTCTCTCTCTCTCTCTTTCTCTTTTTCAGTACTAGGGATTGAACCTAGGGAATTACATGCTAGGGAAGTGCTCTACCACTGAGCTACACTCTCAACCTTTTATTATTATTATTTGTTATAAGACAGGGTCTCTCTAAGTGGCCCAGACAGGCCTCAAGTTTGTTATCCTCCTGTATCAGCTTCCCAAGTAGCTGGGATGACAGAYATGTACYACCACGCCTGGCTCTCTCTTTCTTGTTCCAAAGCTGCCTTCTTGAAAACAGAGTCAGAATTCCTTGTTCCTTTCTGCCATTTGTTCTTCACCACAACGGAGCCAAATGACTTGGAGACTACGTCTCAGGAACAATTTATTTGATGAGCAAGGATAAGAAATCAGTCTCCTCCTCGGGCTCAAGAAGCCATGAATACTTGCCTGGTACTGTCCATCTATAATTCAGTGACACTTGATCAGGACTAGACCATACCTGTGCCTCTCACAGACACGAGTTGGGAAGGCTTCAGGACAAGTCTATCTCCCTGCCATTCTCGGGTGGAATTTGACCTCAGCCTCTAACTGACAGAGAAGAAAGAGGCTGTCCAACTTTTTTTAATGCAACACCAGCTGAGTAGAGGGAGGATCACCCTGTTCTATTGAGTGAGTTCTGCATGTGAAAAGAMGGATTTTAAAAAGTAGCCAGGAGGGGTTGGAGATATAGCTCAGTTGGTAAAGTGCTTGCTTTGCATGCACCAGGCCCTGGGTTTAATCACCAGCATCACAAAAAATAAATAAATGAATAAAAAGGAACAAAGATGGAACTCCCATGGTGATCATGTCCCCTAGAAACTTTCTGAAATCTCTGGAGTGTGTTTCTCTGGTTATGTATGTCTTTTTAGATTCCATTGTGACTGTCTTCTGTCCCCAGCAGCTGTGATGGCCCTTCCTTGTGGAAATTAGTGCCTTTCTCAATGTCACTAAGATTTGGTGCTCCCTGAGTAGTTATTTTCTTTTTAAAGTATATTTTTAGTTGTAGATGGGCACAATACCCTTATTTTATTTTTTTGTGGTGCTGAGGATCCAACCCGTACCTCACAGGAGGTAGGAAAGTGCTCCRCCACTGAGCTACAGCCTCATCCCCCCCTGAGTAGTTTTTTCCTAAAAATCTCCAACCCACCTACTAACACCTTCCTGGTTCCTTGCTAGTGTAGTAGTTCTCAAAGTGAGAACTTAAAAAATAAATAAGTAAATGAGTGGAAATAAACCAG